CCAGGGCACAGGAAGTCACACAGTCCAGACCAGCCTGGGCAATTTGGTGATGCAGTGTGATCGCCGCTTAGAAAACAAAAGCAAAACAAAATTTTAAAACCTGGAATAATGGATTTCTCACCAAGCTCAATAAGATGTTTTAGTTTTAAAGAATATAAAATTTGTGTTTCTTCAAACTACAGTGCTATGCAACAAAATATAGCTGAATCATAAATGTGATTATAGCCAAGTTTTAATCATCATTGAAGGAAATTAATTCTATTAGCCCACACTGATCTACTTTTCAACCACAGAGCTTTGCAGAAAAGTGGCACTGTCAGTGTTGTCTATTACACAGTTGCTCATGTTTTCACTGGTGTTCACATAGTTCAATAGAAAGACTGAATTTACATCCCTACACAGAACACAGAGGAAAACAGCAAAAGCCATCGAAGAGGAATCAAGAGGCCTTAAGCACTATCACAAGGGTGTTCTCCCCAGTCACCCAACCCAACTTTCAAACAAAGGAAAATTCTGTACCGTGAGCCATGTCTCTGAATATTTGATTTCTACTTTCAGTTTTATCCCAAGGCAACTCTTCCCTTGAAAATCTCTTTGAAAAAGAAAGTCATGTTCCAACCGTCCCTATGCTATGCTGACAGGTACTGTGGCATGTATGCAGTGAGGGCCGCCTGGAGAAGTTATTTCATTAGGAGCAATGAAAGGAGGAAGGAAGTGGGGGGTTCCTTCTGACAGAGATAGTAAGAGGAGTCAGGTTAGCAGGTCTGTCATGTGCTTCTGTTGATGTGTTTGCCAAGACAGGAGGTTCGCCTTCTGTGGCTGTTCTGTGCCCTGTGGGAAGTTCAGCAACATCTTGCACGGTTACCACTAAATGCCAGAGTAGCTTCCCAGGCATGACAGGGGTATTCCTACAGGTCCTGGCAGATATCCACACTGTGAGGGGTAATTGTCCCTGGTTTTGAATCATTAATTTAATCAAAAACATCAAAGGGCTGCTTATAAAACATATTCAATGACTATGCAGGAGTTGATCACAAAATACAGAGGATACATAAATTTAAGGAATTGTTACCATAAAAATACATGATCATTAATCCTCATAAAAATCCTCCCCCTCACTTCGAACACTCTCTTCCCATCATCCTTTCCACTTTCTGCAGCAGCTCTGGAGTCCTCTTTCCTGAGAGTCTTCAGTTACGCTGTCCTGGCTGTCTTGGTGTCTCAAATGGATTAAAAATATTTTCTTTTTATGGTCAGTTTGACTTTTGGGAAGTGTCAGAAGTTGCACAGTGCCAGATGAAGTGAATAAAATGGATGAGGACACGGTATCATGTTTCTATTTGACAGAAATTTCCACAAGCCATTGATCAACATGGGTGATCATAAAATATAGAGACTGCCTATTATTTTTGAAAATATAGCAAAAGATACATTGTCATTAATCCTCCTCAAAATACTCAAAAAATGTTCTTCTGACTTCAAATACAGGTATCCCATTATTCTTAGAATAAGTTTTCTTTTACTGTAATAGGTTTAATGCAATAATTTTTATAATTTAGTCACTGAACATTTTCATTGTAATCTATCTTAAAAAGTGAAAAACATGAAATATATTTTGAGTCAGTCTACTATACAATAAAACAATTTAACTTGGCTGTAAGCAGTTTTCACTTTGTTTTCTGCCAATTCTTAAATATCTTCTAAGTGGAGCTGATATATAGCTATATTTAATGGACAAACCCTCCAAATGAGATATGTATACAAGGCATAAACACAAGGGGAAGAACTGTAACTGTGTTTTTATGATTCTCTCTGCATAAATCCATTTTTGATGGATTTTTAGTGTCATATTTTAATAGCTATATTTCAGGTAGTTGAGTCTGCGTGTGTGTGCACATGTATGTGTGTGTGTCCCGGCCCGCGGGTACAGTCAACGTGAACCCGAGAGGGGGAGTGGGGATTATAAAGAGACAAGAGACAGGAAGAATGGAGACAAGACAGTGCTCTGATCAAGTCTCGTTTATTGGCGGTAAGTACCGTGCTTATATAGGGCATGGAAAAACGCGGAAGTTCTTAAGGCGGGAGTAACTAGGTAACGGTGGGCAGTCCTAGCCCCAAAGGCGGGAGTAGCTAGGTAACGGTGGGCAGTCCTGACTTAAAGGGAAAGGCGCGTCTAACAGAAACTTAACTCAGACAACAGAAACTTAATGCTTAAGACGGCTACTAATATACAATGGAGGTCAGCCACGGTCTCCTACATGTGTGTGTATGTATGTGTAAATAACCAGCTCCAGGTAAAATACATCAGGGCTCTGACACTACTCACTGTGACTAAATAATATGTGCATAGCATCATTTGATTAGATTCCTGATGCCTTTTCTCTCCCTGCTGATTAAAATTAATGATTTCTTGTGAAACTCCTGAAGCTAGCCAGGACAGAAATGATACTGAGTGAACTTGGTTTTCAATCTCCCATGACACACAGCCAATCCAGGCCCTCCCAAGGCTTTCAAAAGCACTTGTTTTAAGAATTAAATTAATCAGTAACTTCTGAAACATAAAATAACTTCTACCTCGGATCCTTGTGGTGAGGGTCAGCTAGGAAGGTGCACACGCTGTCCAGTGAGATGCTACCGGGCAGCGACTCAGCACTGGGAGAGGTCCGCGGTCAGCACGCCCCTCCGCACAGTCAGAACACAGTGGAGCAAGCTAAAAATCAACGAACTTTCCTGGACTCCTCAGAAAATTCAAGTCCCAAAGCAAACTGCCACCCTCAAATCTGGAGGGACAGGAAATATAGCGGACCTCAGCCAAGGGCGGATCGAATGGGATAGAAACCACTGGACCCATAAGCTGGCAGGGACATGGGAATGGTCATTGGAGAAGCTTGGGCAATCTTAATAGAAAATCTTGGGTGCTTTAGTCTTAAGGGTTCATTATACACTTTTATTTTCCATACTGGGGGTTGTACCCAGAGTCCTCACATTAAGCTACATTGCCAGGCTGGCAACTGCCTGCCTGCCTGCCTGCCTTCCTTCCTTCCTTCCTTCCTTCCTTCCTTCCTTCCTTCCTTCCTTTCCCTCTGACCGGGTCTCCTCAAATTCATAATTTGCCTAAGCTGTGCTCAAATTTGCAATCTTCCTGCCTCAGCTCTTTGAGTGCTGAGATTATCATGTACTACTTCTCCTGGGCCTCCTGTATTTTCATAGATTTTTATTTCAGGACTTTGGCAGGTTCTCTTACTGCGGCACATGATTTGTGAGGGGGCACTGAGGAGTGATTGTTTAACATCTGCCCAGTGTGTTACTCTACCTAAGACCTTCTCTGTAGAGAAAAAGAGTTTGCCAGAAACACCTCTCCTAGAAACTCAAGATTGATTGTCCAAAGTAAGTCCCTCCAGAGTTCCTGACACCTAAAAGCAGAGAGAATAAAAAGGGTCCTAAATACTTTGAAAGTGACAAGCCCTGAATGCAGACACCACAGAGATAGATGTTAACATCAGATCGTGGCTTGTTTCCCCTCTCCCACTCCTGATCACCAAGGCACAGGGCTCAAATATGGTGATGAGAAGGCATGGAAAGCCTGGACTCCAATTAACAAAGAGATGAAAAACCAAAGAAAAAGAGGGGGCATAAAAGAATGGCACTAGAAGCAGCTGGGGATTTAGCTCAGTGGCACAGCGCCTGCCTGGCAAGGGCAAGGTTGTGAGTTTGATTCCCGGTCCCGGAAAAAAAAAAAAAAAAAAAAAAAAAAAAAAAAAAAAAGAATGGCACTAGAGTAATTGGCAGCCCTTGGTAGCTACCACTGCAAGGACCATGCAACACAGCCCAGACTCAGAACCAAATACATAAAACTGCACAGTGCAAGTTTATTTATCACAGATCATGTGGCCTGATATATTATGCTCAGATTTCAACAAAAAAAATAAAGCATTCTGATGAACATATCTGAGGAGATCCAAAATATAGCACATATTTTGAATTATTGGCAATGAATTTAAAATAAATGTGATTAAGATATTCAATATTTTAAAGACGAGTATAGATACTATGAAATAATACTATGTAGTATAAGTAGAGAAATGGAAACCTTAGGAAAGAAAAAAACATTCTGGATTTAAGAAAATTATTGTAACTCAGTGAAGAATGTCTTTGAAAGCCTGTTGAGACACAGCAGAAGAAAGAGAAGGTAAGCTTAAAAAGATGGGGATAAGCCTACCCCAAATGAAAGAAAAAGAAAAGGAAGCTGAAAATTAAATATAGATGTTAGTACTGTGTGAAAAAGCCATCATGTTTATGGTTTTGTAACTGGAATATTAAAAATAAAAAGGGAGTGGATGGAGGAGAGAGGAATATTTTGAAGAAACACAGCTGAGAACTTAGAAAAGGGAAAGACACAAAGTCTCTGAAAACCAGGAAACTCAGGGACAGAAGACTTGTAATGGGGTCAAGGGGAAAGGAAGGAAGGGAAAAGGAAAAAGAAAAAAAAGTATATCTATCTATCTATCTATGAACCATATAAGAAATATATAAATTTAAAGAAATATATATAAAACATATAAAAATATATATGTATATATGAACAAGATAGTTAAGATAGTTACACTGCTAGTTTCTCTTAGTTCATTAAAAAGAATGATTTGTGCTAACATTGGGCAATATTTCATGCCTATATCTTGTACTCTGAATAATTACTATGAAGATAATAATACATATATATTCATTACGATTACCCTTCTATTATCTTGTTTTGAAATCCTGTTTTATTCATCTATTCTTCTTTTTAAAATAAAAAAGGGGAAATAAAAAAAGTCACACAGAACCTAGAGCAAACAAAAACAAAGCAAACTATCAAACCAAGACTACCAGTAGAAGCAGCATACTGAAATTGTAAAATGCAAAGACAGGTACGCAATCCTGAAGAGGAAAAAGATGCAGAAGAACAGTAAAACAAAATGTGTATCTTCCCCTACAGAAGGAAAGGAAAGATTAAGCAACTGTGCAAAGAAGACAGTGAAGTGAAACGCTCCAAAGAGAGGGAGGTAGGAAATGTTATGATACTCTGCAGAACGATTCCTGCTCTCCACATGGTCTGAGGTCCCAGTACTCTACAGTGAACCTAGATAAATTGTAAGTGTACACAGCACATTCAGAGCAATCAGAAATTGTATGTATGTACAAATGTTCATATACATGGGAAGAGAGAGAAAGACAAAGAAGGGATATATCTGACAGGAGTTTTGACTTTCCACAACTCAGGACAGAAGGAAATTCATGCCATATCATTGGCACCTTGTGTACAACACTTAGGAGACTTTATCATGTGAAGAGCCAAGAAAGTTTGATTTATTTTAATAAAACATTTACAGCGGTACCTTGGCTCATGACCTTAAAATGTCCCACAATTCTGGGGAAGATGGCCACAACCCTGTTCCACACCCATGTGGAGTGAATGAAATGAAGCAAAATTTGCAGAATTCTTCTGTTTGGAAACTGCATTGTTTGAGAACAGAAGCATTCTGAACTGAAGTCTTACTGTATAATAAATTTTCTGTAAAGCATACTCTACGAATATATGCAGATTTCACAGAAAACCTGTTAATTTATATAATCAATGTATGCTAATATCTACAATTTTAAAGAAGAATGCATTGGGAGGTGGGTGTAGCTCAGTTGTGGACAATTTGCTTTTCATGGCTAGGAACAAGGCCCTGGAATCCTGGTATGAGAAAAAATAATGAAAGGAAAAAAGGAGGGAGAGAACAAGATGGAAAAGAAGGAGAGAAGGATTGAGGGAAGGAAGGAAGGAAAGAAAGAAGGAAGGAAGAAAGGGAGGAAAGGAGGAGACAAGAAAGAATGAAAGCAAGACAGAATGGAGAGAAGGAAGAAAGAAGACTTGATTTGGAAGAATTTTTATAGGAACATTAAGGCAAAAAGTACAAAAATTAGTGTGTAATATGACCTTTCATAGAAAGTAGATAGAAGGAAATAGACTACTTAAGAGAGAATGAGAATTGTACCACAGTCCAATTAGACTTGAATTTCAAAAGTACGATGAGAAATCATTTTCCTAAAAAGTGAATTATTTCAGTTCTGACAGCATCATGGTTCTGTAGGATTTACTCCCTAAGGGATGTGATTTCTACCTAGACTTTATCAAGGGCTTAACAAACTGCTTTACTCCTGCTGTTTCTAGTTTACTGGGAGAAAGGTTACAGTGTATCAAACAACAAAACTATTAAAGTAACTATATACAAATGCTTCAGTTCTTATTTTTTGTTCTCAGAGAGTTAGAGGAGAACTTATTAAATGTTAACATATTATTCACAAATTAATTTGATCTGCTGACTGTGCCTAATTTTTAAACACTATTTTGGTATTTTTTCCTAGATCATTGTGCATTGACAAACAGAAACGCCAAGACGTCACCCCGGATTTAGAAGATTTATTAATGTCAACAGACCTTACTGGGAATCTTTCCCAAACTGTCAGGCCCCAATACCTGGTACTCTAGGATTTATATGGTATTTGCAAGTGGGAAGTATAGAAACAGAGTATTTGGTGGTTATTGATTGGTTACATCTTATCTCATGATTACTGATCGACCTAAGGACAAAGTATATCGTATATGTTGCATACTAAAGCAAGTTCAATCTCAGGACAAACTTAGAGTTATGGGAAACACTTGGTTGAGGTAACATACAGGTTAAGGGTGGGGTCAGTTAGAAAAGGGACATATGCACTTGGAACTGAAAAACAAATCTGCCTAGGGGAGTAGCTGGCTTCAGGGTGGCACAGGACCTCGGAAGTAAAAATTTAGCTGTCTATTTCCCTCTTCAATTGTAAAGGACTTGTCAGAATGGAAATATTAATGTTTTTCTTCCTAGAATTATAACATATTGTTATAAAGGACTAGGGAAAATGAGGGCTTCAGAAAAAAGAGGGATACAGATAGATAGTGACAGAGATGATAAAGATAGAGATAGAGATGACAGAGATAGAAAGAGAAAGATAGAAATATAGAGATAGAGAGAGAGATAGAGACAGAGACAGACAGCAAGAGACAGAGAGGGAGAGAGAATAATTATAGTGATATAATATTGGAGCTTTTTCTTGAAGTAAATGTGGACAAGTTAAACAATTGCAACAAACATAAAGAGTTAGAGTAGCTCTTGAATGAGTGATCTTGTAGTGAACTAAGTCTGCAAATCACCCTTTAGCCATGCATAGAAAGAAGAATCTTGTTCAATATGGAGGAGATAGAAATCTAACAACAAGGATTCTGTGTCTCTACTAATTACTAGACAGGTTCTGCCTAGAACCTCAACATTTGCATTATTTTGCTTTCAGATTTATGTATGAGAAACAAAAGAAATTTGCTCATTTCTTGTTATAAATTGTAAAGCTTACTTTATTAATTGCAGAGTAGAGTATAATTCCAAAAGCTTACACAAAAACCAAATAGAAAATTCTAGGAGAAGCAGATTTGGACACAAATACTAAATAGAGCCATTAGAAGTATGGTTATGAATACTATGATTCTATTAAGAGTAGCACAATATCATAGATAATATACTATATACGCAAATGTAATTCATATCCAAAGTTGTAAGTATACGGATAAACAGATGAATATATAATTTATCTTTAATTATATATCTTTGCATTAAGAAGGTAAGATTAAAATGTTAATGAAAATTGTCAAAGATTAGGATAATGAATGACTTTGTGATTTGAAAGTTTTGTTTCTAATGTTCCTGTAAATTATAACATCAATATTAAGTAAGCCAAAATGTTAGTTGCATACATATTTAAACATATTTTTGAGATGTATACATATATGTGCACATATTTGTGCACATGTATGCATACTTAAAAATCACTGATATTTTTTCTCTTCTGGAAGTGTATACAAGTATTATTTTCTTTACATTTATTCAATAGGTTATTTATTTATAAAAACAAACAAAAATTTAATGGTTTTTCTATGCCAGGCATAATGTAAAAGATTTTAAAAATGGAGCTTTTATTATTCTGCCACTATTCTTAAATAACTAAAGAAAATAACAAAGTCTTATGCTTGTTCTGATAAACTCAACGTTATTATCCATAGGGGTACAAAATACCTAAATTTCTTTAGATTTAAAAAAAAAATTGCACCTGGAAATGAATGGCTCATGTAAAGTAAAAGGCAGATTCATTGAGGAATAATGCTCAGGATACAAGAGGCCAGAGTTCACAAGGAGTTGTGCATGTATTTATTTGTCAAATTAAATTCAATTTAGCCTAAATCAACTTCTTTGAATTCCTACTTAGCAAATTCCAACGTAATTTAGCGTATGAACAAGCTGCAAACTCCAAGGCATAAGATCTCCTGAGACACAGCTGAGTTTCTACCAAGTAGAGCAGCCAACATTCAGCCTAGCACAGGTGCCAGCTGCGTGATCACACATCTCCAAACAAGACCAAAGTCATGTCGGGCCCTGTCCTACTGAGGCGTGCCCCCCGCTCAAGCTCAACCAACTACTGCTGGCCCTGTGCGTTTTCCCCTTGTTATGTGTTGCTCAGCACTGCTTGCCTGAGACCCCCCACCTGGATCTCTCTGAACTGCCTCCTGGTTTGAGTACTGTCCAGTTCGTGAATCATTCTTTGCGAAAATATCCTCTGCTATGGTTACTTTGTCTGAAGTTTTCGTTTTAGCGTACTGAAATCTATAAGGAATACAAGAATAGTCTTGAAAGGATGACGATGATTCGGTGGGTAAAAGAGTCCCAGGGCTTGGTGCAACTCAGCAGTAGTGAATTGTGGGGGTAACAGCTATTCATGTCAAGATGTTGAAATGAGGACAGAAACAAGGGAAGAGGCAGGCCGGCTGCGAACCACGATAAACACCTCGCAGGGTGAGAGGATGAAGATTAAGGGAACGGAAGGGACCATCACTCCAGAGTTTGGCAGGGGTCAATGTTCTCAGGGATAGTGTGCTTTCTCATTAAGCAAAAACTAAAGAATGTTCTTAAAATTGAAGATGGAGAGTTTACTTTTGTTGTAATTCAATCAAACTCTTTTGGACGATGGGTTGTGAACTTTGGAAGAAGTGAGATAGGGACGAAGTCAATGTGCACAGAGCCTTACCAGGAGAGGAATGCGGAGCTTGGGAGGATGCGGAAGGTGCACGGGCGAATCCCTGGAGGGAGGGAAGGGCAGGCAGACAGGGGCAGTGCCGCTGAGCACGGTGGTGTAGGAAGGGGCGGGAGTTCTCATTTCAGTCTTTACCCCGGATGAACATAAACTGTGACTTGGCTTCCGAAATGAGTCTTCCCAAAGGAGCGCGCTGCACTATGAGAATGTAAAATATCACATGGGTACAAGGAATTGACGTATGAGGCGTACAAAGTACTTATGAATAATTTTATTAGCAATAGTACTAGCTTCCTGTTTAATGATGATTTTAAAGAACACACGAGGTTCTGTCCCTTAAAATTACCCACACGTGTGAGTGTGCACACACACAGACCCACAAAGCATGACAGAGAACGATATCATGTAACTCCCTATTCCACACACTCACGTTGTAATTTAAAGATGTGGAAATTGAGATTGAGTGACAAAACCAATTTTTTCAAAAGGTAATTTTTCAAGAATTTAAAATTAAATAAGAGCATGAGTTCCTTTATTGGATTGAGCCCAATTTTCTACTCTATTTGGAGCATGTGATACAATTATGTGGGAAGGTGCTTAGGTCTATAATAAAAAGATACCCACATTTTACATTTTAAAATCAAGTAACAATTAAGCTGTGAATTTCGTGCGACTATTACCTCTCCTATAATTGCCAGACAATTTTCAGGCCATAAATAACCCTACAATTACTTAATGCTTTTTTTTCACGGTCTGTATTCTACATGGCAACAATTACATTATTACAGAGTAATTACATGAATTACTTTATTTGTAACTGCCATAAAAAAGCATTATTCCCTCACTTTATTCAAAGTACAAAGACTCAACACAATACTGTATGTGTGATGCTAAGTACTTAACCCATTGTTCAGGGACTATTTGAATATATTTGAGAAACATATGTATGAGGCTCTGTGGGGCATTTGTCAAATGTTCTTTTAATACGTTAAAACATGTTTGGTAAAGGAGGAAAAAGAAAATTTCTTAATTCATTTCATTATAATTTTCCTGTGTGTATCCCTTTGCAAGCAGGCTAAGCTCCCTAAAACATTAAAGGGCATGAATATGATTTTAAAACCACAGTTTGAGACTTTCTAGGACAATAAGTAGGTTTCCAACAGCTACATACACCCACATGTAAAAGGCTTGCACATTCATTTTACTGAAACCCAAGGATGTTTGAATAAGGCTAAAAATTACAACTTTTGAATTCTACCAGCACCATGGGTTTAAGTAATTATCATGATTTTCAGAAATCAAAGGTTTCATTCCATTTGGATGGTGAGTCAATTAAATGATTAAGGTGCAGTTGGAAATGCTACTGTTTCTTTGCCTTTCTTAAATAGTCAGTGATATTCCTGTACAATAATAGCTCAGTTCACCAACACTTCTGTTTGGGAACAATTCAGTTCATGAACACAAATGTTCTGTGAAAATTTGCTTCTGTTCATGAACTCTGTGTTGGGTGACAAGCACAACCCCGACCACAGCCATCTTCCTCAGAATCATGGAAAAAAATAAGTTCCTGGACCATGGCACCACTGTATCATATTCCTTTATCTATAACACACCCATAGAGAGAGAATCATTCTGATCTAGGTTTTATTTATAAGCTAGCTTGGTTATGCACATAGTCATGTGGTCAATGAGAAAATATGAAGTGATTCATCCATTTGTGTGTACATGCATGTGTGTCGATGTGTACATGGGTGTGTGTGTGCATGTGATCATTCAAGAAAAATCTATATCTTCATACATTGTTGGAAACACTATACTTTGGTCTTTAGGAAGCAAAATTACTCATTTGAAACCCCAGCAAAAGCCCATATATTCAGATACCTGTATGTTCATTTCCTAAGGCCACTAACAGACCTATTGCTGCTGGTCTTTGGGGCTCCGAGTTCCTGCCTTCTGCACACTATCACCTGGACCATTACCAATTTGCTTTCTTTCCACACTTCTCTCATCAACTTCTTCCTCTCTCTTATGTAATCGGAGTAAGAGATAGTTCTTCAATGCTTACAAAAAACTTTTCCTGAAATTTAATTGTCTCAGTAGTTGCTAACTGATCTTGGATACTCCAAAAGCTACACAGGGATCTGAAGCTAGACTCCTGAGGATAGAGAAGGGTTTCCCTTTTCTAAAGATGGACTCTGACAGCCTTTTGTGATAGTTTTCCAAACCTTCTTTCTCCTTTTTCTTTCCAGTTTGGGTTTTCATTGAATTCTGCTGTTGCTACTGACTCTGCTCAGTATATCATAGCTGCATGGACTTGGTTCCTACAAGTCCAGTGGTGACTCATTCAGCTCTACTTCTGTTGAGGATCGACCTCAATCTGGGCTTATGGGGACTGCTGCTCCATAGGAAGGAGGTTCCTATGGCTGTGGCTGGCAAGAGAAAGGAAAACAAAGAAGGCATTCTTGGCAAACAGCAAAAGCTTAAATTTTTATAAAGAAATCATTTGCAAGCAAGTCAAGTTCTTATTAAATCATTAGTATCTTTCAGGTTAGGAAGAATGTTTATTGTAAGACATTTTATCAGTCAAGGTTCTTTAGGGAAGCAGAAGCAATAATGTGTATACATGTACACACACACACACACACACACACACATGCATGCATGCACGCACAGAAAGAGAGAAAAAAGAGAAGAGAGAGAGGTGAAGGGAGTGCGGGAGGAGAACCATGGACTAAATGAATACATAAAGTTAGCATTGCAGATATTTAGGTTAAAAATGCAGATATATCATAGCAGAGTTAAAATTTTGCATGGATTTTTTTATATAAATATAAAAACATAAACTTTAAAAAATTTGCATTTGTATTGCAAACCACTGAATATATGTCTCTTAGGGCTCTAGCAATTGCATTTAGCATTTTTGTATAAATGCAAAGATTTGGAAAATAATATGATAATGAGAATATCCGCGGTATCAGGAAGCATGTGTCCAGAATAGATAGTGTTACATTGATAATACCTACTTCCTACCTGGTTCTCACCTTTGCTGAGATATAGCAGAGTTTTGCAATACTCCTCAGCAGAGTCTCAGCTCTGACTGTATCTCAGCTCTGACTTTTGTAGTTCTATTGTGGTGAAACCATGGAACAAAATTACTTACCAGAGAAAACAGTGGGGCTGGAACACTCACATACTATGTGATACAAAAATAACTATTGTTGAATTTTATGTTTCGTGTTGACTAGCCAAATGGTACATAGATATTTGGTCAAATATTAGTGATGGTTTTGTAAGGATGCTTTTGAATGAGGTCTACTTTTTCTTAAGGAAGTAAAAACCTCCCATTAGAATATTGGAAAATGGGTAAGAACTCCAGCTTAAGTAGCTGGAGGGGGCACACTCTGATAGAGATTCTCAGACTGGACACTCACAAAGGAAGGAGGCCAGCTTTCAAGGTTCAGCTGGTGGTTTGGTGTCCAGTTAGTTATTATCTCAGTCCTGGTGTCACAACTCTGGAATCCTCAAGGCCAAGGGACAGTTCTATTCCTAGGAAAGTATTCTCTCTGTCTGACATGGTCTCAGTCATGCGGGGTTCTGCCTTTCCTAAAATCCAGCTCATCAGAGAGACTTCTGCCTGAGATTTACTTCTAAATGACTAATGTTTGAATGCAGCAGATAGGCTGCCATAATATGGGGAAGCCTCTTTCAGTCAGTTGAAGGCCTGCTTAGAACGAAAGGTTGGACTTTCTCTCTTTCTCAACAAATGAAAATTTTGCTAGTAGATAAAATGTGGATTTTATGTACAACATTAACCCTTTTTGAGTTTGCTTGGCTCCTCTGTCAGATTTTGTACTTATTGAGCATCAGTAATTCCATGAAGCAATTCTTTAAAATAAATCTCTTGCCATATATGATACACATTCATTCTACTGGTTTTGTTTCTCTAGAGAACCCTAATACCATAATCCAGTCTCAGAACTCAGTCAATATTGAGACATGTGAAAGCTGTTCCTTAAGCAATGCTAAAAAATGATAGTGATGCAATGATGAATGACAGGGTCAGTAAATTAATTTCATTAAGGATATGGCTCTTGGATTCAACATGTTCCTATCAGGTCCTGGAGTTTTTATACATAGATCTGGTCTTACTTTAATCACTCTTAATCCCATCCAATGCTCCTGCAGAGCTAGCCTAATTTAAATCTCACCATGAAGAGACATCAACCTACTGAAAATAGGAGACATTCTTCAAAATAGCTGATATATACTCTTCAAAGTTTTCAAGGTCCAGAAAAGCAAAAAGAAAAAGAAAACTGGAACAGCAAACCAAGAGTATAACAAAAATAAGTCAAATATAATGCATAGCTGAAAATTCATTAGAAGTAATGGGGCTGGGGATTTAGCTCAGCGGCAAAGCGCCTGCCTGGCAAGTGCAAGGTCGTGAGTTCGGTTCCTGGTACCGGAGAAAAAAAAAAAAAAAAAAAAAAAAAAAGAAGTAATGTATAGCTACAAAAATGAAGAACAGAGTCTGCTCCTTCCAATATTCCA